GAAGCAGAAGCCAACGAGATGGAGACCTGGACGGAAGATGATATGTCCCGTTAAATTAATAGACTTTGTTGAATTTCAATTTTGTGTTTGTAAATTCTGTACATTTAATTAAGTTATTATTAATTGTTTATTGGTTAATGTAAGTGGCTATTGTTCGGTACGAACAATACTAAGGAAGGGGCAGTGTTACGACAGCGGAAGTCACGTGACGCTAGTAACACGTCATGAATTTCTAGAAAAATCCTGCCCCTTCTTGAAGCCTCGAGAGGTTACTAGATATGCGGTATTCATGTATATAAGACCGGTAAGAAGTGACGGCAACAATGTAAGGTAATTGAACTGCAGACAGAGAGAGACTGACGATTGAGTCGAGCATGTGAGTCGTTCGTTGTGAATTATAGCGTTTGTTATAGCGTGACTGTGGAAATCAAGTGTATTGCAAAGTTGTATTCAGAAGGAATAAACCAGTTTTAATTAAGAAAGAACTTGTGTCTCTAAAGTTTCATCGGAAAGAAATTATACGGGAAACAAACCAACGACCAGAGATGTAACAGTAAGTTGTTGTGGTTTATCTAACTTAGCTTGATCCAGGGCCACATATTTAAAAAAAAAATCAAACAATTTACACAGGACATCAAGGAGTCATGGTGTCTGAGAACCTCTTGTACAATGTCACTTTTGTATGGTTTACAGTTTAAATATTTTTTTACAGTAGTACCTTTAATATTAAAAAGTGGCAATAATAATCACTTAGTAACTGTGTCTTTTTATTCTACATTTGAAAAGTAAAATGGTATATTACATATGCTTGGTATGTTTTCTAGTATTATGTCTCTACCACGTTTTGGCTTCTGGAACTGAACAGAAGAGAGAGGTCTTGGCTCCATATTCCTTTTAATTCCTCGGTTCCATGTTGCAGACTCATCAGTACATGCTTCACCCGTTTTTTATTTCTAACTGTGTGTTAAATTTCCCATAGAACTGCTCCTACGTGACACACGAGTGCCTTTGCCCTGCTATGCATAAGCACTATCCTTTTAAAATAGTCCCATCTTGTTTACAACGAGCATAGACTTCATTTGTTTTTTTATATTGTTGCGTCAGCGAGGTCACGTGACTAGTATCACGCCACTCCTTCTCTCGAACCTTCGTGAATTATCGGGAGACTACTAGATTGGGAGTTGTCTGGTATATATAAGATGGTCACAACGTGACGAGGTAATGAGTAATTGAACTGCAGTCAGAGAATTTGTAATTGAACAGAGTATTGTCGAGCTCGTGAGACGTGAATTATAGCATTTGTTATAGAGCGACTGTTGAAATTAAGTGTATCGTAAAGTTGTATTCGGAAAGAATAAACCAGTTTTATTTAAGAAAGGACTTGTGTCGCTAAAGTTTCGTCGGAACGAATTTACGGAAAATTAACTAACGACTGGAGGCGTAATAATATATTTTGTGAGGCACAGACGTCTGCTTTCAAAAATAATGCCTGGCCAGGTGGTTAGGACACTCAACTCGCAATCTGAGGGTCGCGGGTTCGAATCCCCGTCCCACCAAACATACTCGCCCTTTCAGCCATGGGGGCGTTATAATGTGACGGTCAATCCCACTATTCGTTGGTAAAAGAGTAGTCCAAGAGTTGGCGGTGGGTGGTGATGACTAGTTGCCTTCCCTCTAGTCTTACACTGCTAAATTAAGGACGGCTAGCATAGATAGCCCTCGTATAGCTTTGCAAGAAATTCAAAACAAACAAAAATAATGTCATTATTTTAATATTTTTGGTGCAAAATTTAACCTATGTTACCACTTTGGAAGTAGTTGGAAGTTTTCATAAAGAGAATGTACGAATGTTTGTGTCCTCTGTGGGTCAGCAATATGTTTATGGACTTCCAACACTAAACTCTGGGGTTCGATTCCCTTTGGTAGACAGAGTGTAGATAGCGTATTGAGTAGCTTTACACTGAAACAAACGTAAATAAAAAGGTTTATCGTTACTTATTTTATATCTTTTCTTTTTGTACACCAGGTTTCGTTTTACTATTTAGTTTATTCACATGGGTTGGGTTAGTGTCCTAAATTCCGTTTCGCGTTTTAGCTACAGTGTACTTTTGTTTTGGTTACAAACTTGTGAAGTTGTGTATTCTCTATTGAATTTTTACATTTTACTTTTTTAATATGAATACTTACTAGTTAGTGAGTTGCATGTAAATCATAAACTTATTGAAGAAACAAATGTATTAAGTTATTAATTTGTTATTTTTAGTGTATGTTGTACTATATCATGTAAATTGTAATTGCGCTTGAACAGGTGAGTGTTATTACTGATTCTGTAGTAGCACTATCAATATTAGTATTATATTAATATATAGTTGTAGTATTATACTTATAGGGAGTAGTCATTTTTCTCTCGGTATTGAGCCAGAGAGATTTTAAAAATCTGCATGGAAAAGGTTCCTCATTCGTGGAATATTTTAACTACTAGTTATCAACTTATATCATTATCAATTATATACCGATGATTACGGAATCAGTTTGTCAAAATACATATTAATCTCTTCTTTCTATATGGATGTTCATCCTACTAATAACTGACTAAATAAAAATGGCTTACAAAAAGTTAGAGCTATAGAGTACAGTGATAACTGACTTTCGGTTTGCAATTTAGTATTATTTTTTCTAACTTCATTTTCAAAATATAAACATTACAAGTAAATTCAGGAATTTGTGTCTTCTCTCCCCTATAAATAATTACCACTTACATATACAGTATTTACCTTATCAGAAAAAGTATGAAAATTTAAATGCTATGATATTGCTGTTGCTTTTTAAATTTAAGATTTAGGCTAACTAATGGGGATTTACTGAAGCCTTTAATTTTGTAAGGTAAAAGTAAAGTGTAAGTTAACAACAAGGTTAAGGGTGAGATTTTTGAACTAATGTGTTGTTGATAAAAATAAAATTGTTTTTATATTTTTCAAAGCTTATATAATGCATATGTAACTGAACTTAATGCAATATTGGCATGTTATGGCTTTATTTAGTGAATGAAGCTTCATTTTTTAAATTTCAATAACAAATTGGTAAATGGTATAGTTTATAGAAGACCTTAAAGTATTCTTGTTTACTTATCACTATTTTAGAGATGATCATACCTGACTAACAGAAACATTTATATATTTCTGAGTTTTATTTTTTTTATACCAAACTATATCTACTGTCTTAACTTGTAACTGGTTTACACCATCTATTAATGTTGTTATTTTTGTTTTGAACAATCTATGTGAAGGTTTAAGCTAAATTATTTATAGGGTCAAGTTTTCAGGAGGGAAAAAAAGTGTAGCAAGTATCTTGACAAATATCAATCTTGATATTTGTAATATCACATAGTGCAGAACTATGCACAGACTTTTGCAATTGAAAAATTATTTCCTTTATAAAAACAAGTTTAGTTTTCTTTCATAGATATTTGTACAAAATGCTAATTTGTAATACTGATGTTTGCTCTGTTCAATTGGTATAAAAAAGGGGCACTAGTAATAATGGATCTGGTAGTAATGAATCATAAAAAATTATGTTAATAATTCAAAATGGGAAAAAATATCAATTAAACTAAATATGACACTATTTTATACCAATGCAATTTTTACAGGTATCATTATTTACAAATGCTGTTCATCAGATATTATTGCTCATTAACATTAAAAAGCCTGCAAAAATTACCAACATTTTGAGCATTTGTATTTAAGCTATTGCCAAAATATATAACTAGTATTGGCCATATAAACAGATCAAAGTTATTAAGTTTAATACAAAAAAATTTTGTCTTGTTTATAATAGCTAGAGAGAAACTTGTGTGATAATTATTATACCAGCCACAGCATGTGATTTTACTTTACTTTGCCATAGATAGAAATATCTTGCTTGAGTTATAAATGAGAATATAAATGTTTTTGTTCTTCATTCATGGTATCTTAGCCAGAAGAAAATGTACCTGTAGGTGTCATGGAAAGAATTTCATTCAAAAGTTATGGAAAACTACATGCCAACAAGTTTAGTACAAAAAAATTCATCAACAAAAGATAGTGGGCCAGATACCCAGTCATCAAATTCTCATTTATTTGTGGTAAGACAGTTTTGTTATTATTGTTTTCCATGTCTGTTGGGTGTACTTACCTATTTTCAGAGTAGGTAAGGTATCTTTATTTCATCACATTTGTATATCCTGTCACTAATTAAAAATACAAATAAGGCATTTTAAAATATTTATAGGAATGTAATAAAGTTGCTGCTTTTTCACTTATTTGACTTATGCATTGTATTTCTATTACATAATAACTCTGTCATACTGGACATTGGCCATATAAAACATTTGAATATTAAATCTGTGGTCATGTAAAATATGTGAGGGTTTTGTCATAGTCTTTAATAGAGCTGGGTGGTTAGTGTAATTTTTCTGATGCTTTTTTCTTCCCCATCTCAGTGGGCTGGCTTGCTATTAGTCAGAGAATCAAGGAGTCATGAGCAACAGTAATGTGAAACAAGCAGGGTGATAGACTAAGACTGGCAAAATATATTAACATAGCTTGTGTTAACTCTAATAATTTTGATCAGTAACCAGAAAATATGTTATTCTTTATGCAAAAGAGTTCAATGACACTTCATATTGTATCATCAAAGTTATAAAGGAAAGATAAGATAATACTAAGGTTGAGATAGATATTGTAAAGTAGAAGCCTTACTAATGAACTAATTAATTAAGGACCTCACTCTGTGAGCTCCCATGGACCAAACAAAAGCCTGCTGTTGTATAGTAAGTAGTATAGTAAATATAAAGGGTGATAAAAATCTTACTAATAAAAATCAACCAATCAGAGATCAACATTTCTTTGATGTCAGAAAATGTAACGAATTGATCATTCTGATACAATATCTTACTTTGGTGCACAAAAAGCTTTCTCAACTTATAATGCCATCTATTAGTGCAAATGTTTGCTAATAACTAGCTTTGATACCCCCACTTATCTTTGTATACTAACATGCAAATGATTATGCAGCAACCCTCCACCATTAGGAGTGCAACACTATCCCTATTGTAACTAGTGCCCCCTCAAATCTTGCAACTGTTAACCACTTCTAAATTGGCAGGCTTATTTTTTGTATCTCGTCTTTTGAACTACAAATATCTTTGGAATCCTATGTATTTGAGATAAATAAAATTGAAACCATATTTGCAAATATATATATATACATATATAAAATAAATTTATTGGAAAATGTAATTTCAGCAAGTGTGTGAGTGTGTAAACAACTGTTTGTATCTTGGTGTGAGCTGGGGATCCTTTGTTTCAGCCTCAGGAAGAGCAGCTTGCTTCTTAAACAAATAATCACCTCTCACACAATTTAGCCATCTTTCTCAGCTCTTCCATGCATTCTACCAGAGAGAGATTTACATGCCACTATTCTTGTGAAAATTGCACCTGCCAGAACTCTTTGGGTTGGATTGCATTCCTCTTTACTCTTTACCTAACAAGTATTCTTGTGTATATATATTATTTGACTGGCTAAAGTTTCTTTGCTCAGTTTTCTTCTTTGGTGTTCTTTTCCCCCTGATGACCTGGTCTGATAATATACAACTTCTGTCCTCATTCTGTTCCCAGATTTTTTTTCCTCTTCTTGCCCTTTACTCATATTCCTCATTTAGATCAGTCTCCTTCTCACCCTTCCATTCCAGATTCCAGGCCATCCTACTGTTTTTTTTATCTTACCTCTACCAGTAGTTTCATTTATCCCTCTTCTTGGCAGTGTATGATTCTGCATGTGCCTTTCTCTTCTCCTACTGTTGGTCTCACTTTCTGCTGACAGTCATGTTCCATTTCCCCACCGTAGTCTCATTTCTCGCTCTTCCTCTCTTTGCCTTTCTTCCCATTTTCCTCTCTCCTCCCTCTGATCCCTTCTATTGTCTTTTCCACCCAATCAGTGGTTGGCTATGGTCAATGTATCAGACACCTTTGTACATGGTTGTTGTCCCATCTGTCCTTTTTTTTGTGTCTTCCTTTTCCTTTTCTCTTTACTTTAGCATTGGCCCCCTCTTGTATTTATTGTTATCATATGTGGAGATGGAAGATGTTACGTTTTAATCTATACTTGATCATATTAGTGACTTAGACAGGAGCTTGCTATGGTATCAGCTTAACATACAGAAACAAGTGACCGAATGGTCCTTTATGGCCATCTTTACCATCCCACCATTAAAAACAAAACATAAATATTAAACCCATCCTTTATTTCTCAGAAAACCAAACTCAGTAATCTTAATGTATTCGGACAAAGTAATCCTACCATCCTTGAAATCATCCTTGCAGTCCTCTTCTAAACCATTTCCAAAAAGTCAGTTTTCTTTCTTAGATAAGGAGACTAGGTCTGTACACAGCATTTTATAGGAATAGGGGTTTTGTTGAATTTTAAATAGTGAAAAATAACAAAAAACATAGTTGTCATTGGATTCCACAGTTTAAAAATGGTAGATTTACACTGCAATTTTAATTATTTATTTGATAAGTAGCAAAAATTTTTTTTGACAAGGTTTCTGTTGGAATTGTACAGATATATATATATATATATATATATATATATAA